AGAAATCAAATATAAAATAAAGGAAAGAAAATTATTGAGTGCTACTTTCATGACAGACATTTTACTAAACACCTTTACATGCTATCTCATTCACTATTCACTACAATCGTGAAGGATCCCTGCTTTACAATGAAAAAACTGAGGTCCTTACAGATAAAGTGATTTATTCAAGGTAATATAGTATTTGAATATACATACACACACACACACAACACACACACACACACACTGCATATTTTGTTCTATAAGTATTTGGAAGCTTATTGAAATAAACATGTAATCTTTTTATGCTGCTGAATTTGAATTTTAAAACTTAGGCACTAGTTGTAGTGTCTAAGAATGTACATTATAAAATATAATGTACCAAGGAGGAAACCATGGAGACTTATAATGTTTCTGTCATTTCTAATAAATATAAGAATCACTGAGAGTAATAATAGTTAGGAAATGTCTAGGCTGAACAATCTCAAAAGAGGCAATACTTTAAAAAACTACTTGACATTTATGCTGACAGAATTTGCTAAGGTAAACTACCATTTCAATAAATCCCCTGAATTGTATGGGATATGCTTTTAGAAATTTTCAAAGATAGCGGTAACATGGTTAAACACCTGCTTAAGTTTATTGCTAAACTTTGTGCAAAGAGGAACATGTAAATTATAATGATCTCGCTTTAGATGAAACAAATGTTTCCTTCATTTAGGATAAAATCTGTGATTCTGTTGATATGTAAATAAAGCAATAGAATGTACTAGTAATAGAACTACTTTCTCCCCTTTCCTGCAGTACAAATATCTAGTTTAAGAACTTGTTACTGGATGTTTCTCTCTCCCTTCCCACCCCTCTTCTCTGAATGAAAGTAGATACAGTCACTTTGCAGCTCATGCTTTTTGTCTTTAAATACCATAAGTTTATATGCTCCATTGCAAGTTTAAGAAAAAAAGAGCCTCTACTGGGATAGCTTCTGGTGTGAAGAAAAATACATTGTCCCTAATATATTTGTTTACTACTGACTGAATATAGCTCCAGCAATTTATTAGACCTCCCTTAAAGAAGAGACAATTGCCATGGGCATTTTGACCCAGCAATTAGTTGCACTCAATTTCTACAGTTTTGTTTAGTGTAAGCACTAAAGAGAAGACCAGAACTGAAAACACCAGCACCTTTATCCAATGACCTCATTCTTTTTTCAGGCAGCCTACTTCCCTGAACAATCATTCACTACAGTGACCACACCCTTGAACAACAATTTATCAAAGCAACACACCCTTCCCCACAGAATAGGAAAAGTTTCTGATAGTATTTAGAAATTCTAACACAATATGGGGGCAATATAGTATATTTGCAACTTGAAACAAAGGTAAGCCCCTACTGAATAATTATTGAGAACAGAGGCCATTCATAAATATATCTTTTCCTTAGGTAGCTCTCTAGAGTTAGATTTGGTTGCAAGTTTCAAATTCAAAAGAATAACAAATTTTATAAAACATGGATTAAAATACCAGTATTCTATTGAGTAATATATTCAATGGCCACAATAAAAAATAAGCTTTTAAAGTTAAATACAGATATCCATATGAACTACCTACAGACAAGGCTCTGTACATCTATCCTCAAAGTGGACTCTCCTTGCACAAGCAGATAGTATTTGTCCAGAAAAATCACTGTTTTTATAATATATAGGCATTTAATAAGCATGTGTTCAGTGAATGACTAGTATTTAAAATTAGTTTATTTTGATCTATTTTTCTTTCTCTAAGGAGAGTTCCTCTGTATTCATAGAAAATATCTTGAACTTCAATGAAAATTTAAATTAGTAGAAAAAGAATTGAAAATCCAATTAGTAATTCATATCAATGCTGCTCTTAAAAATTTAAGGCAGTATTTCAGTTTGAGTTAAGGATGATAGGTTAATATTTTAAGTTTCAAAGGTTGAGTTCTAAGGGGTTTGGTTTGTTTTATTTTAAGCAGCTTCTAGAACACTATTCAATTATTTATAATACTACACTGAATTCTAAAATGTATCCATGACCTTGATTATACCTGGGTTTGATTATACTTATTCGTATGAATAGACATAATTTTAATTCTACTATGAATTCAGACAACTTGTTAGCAACTGATTTCTACATTTGATAATAACTGAGAAAATCATAAAATATACCTGATTGATCATAGGCAAGAAACAAAGCAACATTATATATCTAGAGAAATTTTAATTTGACATCCATAACACCATGTTAGTGCACAAGACTGCAATAGGGGAAACCCACATTCTAAAAGAAAAAAAAAACAGAAATAAAAAATACTAAAGTTCTGCAAAAAGCATTTGGTCAAATCTAAAAAGCCTACTACATGAGTTAAAATTAAGTTCTAGGGAGCACATCAGAATGGCATTGATTTCAGTTACAGAAAGGAACATATTTTACTACTGGCAATATTTATTTTAAAATTCCATGAGTTCTTTGAATGTCATTCAAACACCAAAATGCTTGAAAATAAAGTAAAACTTTAATTTAATTCATGATGACCAGCAACTGAATGTAAGTAATATTCATTTCCCTAGCTGCCAGGGTCACACACTTTGGCATCAGAATAATTGCTATTTACCAGCTCATCTGAAACATGGCATATTAATCAGATACTTTGTTAAAACATAACAACAAATAAATAAAAGGTTTTTGAGTAATATGTATTGCTTACTTGTGCTTGGTATGTGTAAAAAGGTTGCCATCACATTTTTCCCATTTCATCAGCATGATGGTAATTTCAGATCACACATATGTACTATTTTACATAATATCTCAATGCAATCCCTCCAATAAACAAGAAAAGATAAAAATAAGGGTTTCATGTTCATAGTTTCTTACAGTGGATTTGACATCCAACTCAGTTTGGTATTTTATAGTCAAATTTTCCTGCATATTGTTTTACCAAGGAAATAAGGCTTATTTTTCTTTTCGTTTACCACATAACTTGAATTTCACCTCTCGTATCCACACCCAGACCTTTTCTTTCTTTTTAGTTATAAATAACTTGACTTCACAGTGCCCTCCATTCCAATGTCTTTCCTTGGTTTTTGTGGCCATACTATCTATCCCTAATTTTCTTTATATAGTTTTCAATGGGGAACTGTATTTCAAGATGGAGATAGTCTGGAAAGATCACTTTGGTAAATATAAGGTAAAAGAAGGAAAAACTAGTAAAAAGTTTGTCCAGCATGATCCTGGTATTATTACACAATAAAGTTGAATAAAGGAACACACAATAAACTATGATCTTAAAACTTGTTCTGTGGTCAATATTTGTAATTTGCCAAAATTCAGCCTTTAAGTATGTATACATCTACTTTTCTTTTACTACCAACATCACATGAAAAGAGTCTAAATGGGTTAAACTATGACAAATAGGATAATTTTAGTATTCATATGAAAACAGTAATTATTGTTTTCAACCTTCATTGATTTGTGGCCACTATGGAACAAAGATGACACCCAAGTTGTTCATTGGCATCTTAATAATGATTATTTGAATGTACATTTGCATTATTATTATCATTTCTATAAGCTGGTATTTTTAGCTCTTATATTTTCCTTTCCTTTGAGCTCAATATAGTTAGAGTTTTTTGCTACAAGGAAATTACTGACAGTAAATCCTAGATTTTTAAATTTTTTCCCTGAAATTAAGATAAGTGTTGTAAAATTAAAGCATTTGGTGTTTGGGATTATCTATATCTTTGAAAAAATCTTTAAAATAATTTTATTAGGCACTTTAGATACATTGCTTCATATCCTACTTAAATTATGTTTTGGATAAATAACTCAAACTATTGTCAATTAGTATAATACTGTAACATGGGCCAATATCCAAATGGTTGCATTTTGAATCTGTCACAGTGCAAATTGATCTTGAAAACAGAATTTCAGATTGGCTAGACGCTCCAAGAAAGTTTAAATACATGTAAAATGAATGTAAATAAAGTCAGAGAATAAAAATAAACACACAGCTGTAGTCTTGCAGTATTACTTTTCATTTAGCACAGGTATTGGTGATTAAAAAAAACTTAGAGGGGCTGGGGTTGTGGCTCAGTGGTAGATTGATTGCCTAGCATGTGCGAGGCCCTGGGTTAGATCCTCAGCACCACATAAAAATAAATAAATAAAATAAAGGTATTGTGTCCTTCTACAACTGAAAAATAAATATTAAAAAAAAACCTTAGAAACAAATCTGTTTCATTTTAAATGGTATATTAGAGTTGTGTCTTTTGCAGCTTTATATAACAATCGGTCACCTCTTGCATTCTTTAATACTGTACCTCCTCTTTCTATACTTGTTCTACCAATATTCCATCAATTATTCACCTAGTCTGTACAAAAATCAATGTGCTGTTTTCAGAAGATGAAACTCATATGATAATTCAAACAGACATTTGCACTTGTCACTTACCCTGAAGCAGCAAACTATTAGCTGAACACAAATAATTACTTGTCACTTCCTACATGCCATTATCTTTGCACCACTCCAATTGCTACAAGAAAAAACCTAACTAGTATAAAATATATTCCATGCTTTTACAATTATATCAAAATGGATTCTCCTTTATGTATAACTAAAAATAATTAAAATTGTTTGCTTCTGATATGAAATAAATCAATGGGAACCTGTTCTAAAAAATGAGTGTATTCAAGATGAAGTTTTCTTTGCAGTAGAGGCAAATTTTACCTCATTCAGCTCAGTTCTTCCAATCAACTCCAACAGAAAACGAATGCTCAAGTTAGATTATGAAAACATTTGGAACTGGTAAATGAACAAGTACAGGCACTAATAAATGAAAAAAAAAAAGGCCAACGGATAGAATTTGGGAGATTGTCCAATGTATATATAACCAAAATCTGCTAAGAGACATCCTGTAGAATAGAGGCAAATAAACAGAAAGGAAGGAGAGAAATGAGGTTCAAGATTTCCTTCTCCACTAATGGCATAGCTGTCTTTTGTGGTACCTGAGAATGGTCGCTCCAAACCAAGTTTTGGTAGGAAGAGGAAGTTTTGAGAGGGGAGAGCACTTCCCGTGGGCTGATGGGGTCCAAGGCCTGCACCACTCTGTTCATGGGCCCGCTGTAGGTCCTCACTCGCTCATACACTACATTTTTTTCTGGAGGCTGCTGGGCTTGGCTTGACTGATGGTAGCAGTGGTAATGCTGGGGCTGGCACTGCAGCACCTCTAGGGGCTGCTGGGTCCCACAGCTGCTGCTGCTGGTCTCGCTCCAATAACTTGAGCTCATCATCTTCTTGGTGGTCAGAAAGGAACTCCCCAGATGCTCTCCCTAAGAATAAATAGAGAATGACAATTTTAAAAAGTGCAGGAAGGCACATGTGCAGAAGCCATTTATCAACCACCTCTGCCCACAGAGGTGCAAAGGAGAGATGAGTTACCTGAGCAGCAACAGGAGCAGGTCTGGCAGCTGCAGAGGAGGCAACAAAGTACTTGAGCTCGAATGAAAAGTGGAGCCACCCTGTGAGATTGCTCCAGGAAATGGTACTGACACACCCCTGAAGGGCGGATTCACCTGGCAGGTTTGCGTGCCAGGAGAGGCCCTGCCTTGCCATGGAGATAGTTATAAAACTTCCCAGTAGGTAAAGGAGTCTGTAGAGATAAGAACTGTAGAATTTCAGGACTGAAACCAGAGCTTGCAAATCCATGGAATTGGAAATTTGCAAACAAAGACATACCAATGCCAATATTGCTGGAGGAAAAAAAAAAAAAACAAACACCAAATGAAAGTGGCTTTCCCATGGTTCATAAGCTTAACAAAGTGGTGACAAGCCTAAGTACTATCAGTCCAGAATCTCAGACCAAAATAAAAGGCATTAGCCTATGGACACACTAATTTTCAGGAACAAAACCGCATTCTTCAAAAAATCCAGGTGATAACTGCAGTCAAGGGAGATTGCTATGGGGTCTCCTTCTAGCAACTCTAATTTATGAACCTGTTTATCTTGTTCCGGTCATGGTATGCTTTTCTCACGTACATTGCAAGAGGTTTTTCCAAATGATTGAATTACTATCCAGAAATGGGGACAAGGGTAGTGTAGGAATGGTCAAGCCATTGCATTTTTTTTTTGTCATTTATACTTATTGTTTAGCATTTTAACAAAGGAATTTACCCTCACTTTATTTTTGCCCTAGGAAACATTGAGCTTGATTGCCTCTTTAATATCCAGTTGTTAAGGGAGCTATAAGTTCTAAGAAGTTCCTTACCTGAAAAAAATGAAATTTAAAAGTGTTTAGCACAAATATTTATTATGACTTGAAAGTCAAATCATAATGCCTACTTACACAGCAGACTTTGCCTTGCTGGATATTTCAGCATCACTGAATTTCAAAATATTCACTGAGGGTGGCTTCAGAAAAGCAGTATCTTCCTTATGTGTATATGTACTACAGAACCTAGCATACCACTACTACCCTGGAGAGTAAGACAATGTCCTTCAGTTGGCTAGCCAACTTTTTCTTTGCTGAGTGAAAAAATGGTAATGATTTACTGGTCATTCACTATTGATCAGCTCCTGCTCAAGGAGCTTTACATGAATTACCTCACCTTCATAATAATTTTATAAGGATTATGAATGAGAAACTGAGGCACAGATACCAAAAGGCTGAAAAAATTCCCCAAATTAATAATCAGTAAATGGCAGATCTGGGATTTGAACATAGGGAAATTCACTTTAGAGTCTAATCTCTTATGTGCTATATTGTGCTGCTTAATACATTTTAAAATTGTTCTGTGCTTGGCTATCTAATAAATCTTCTTAGGGTGAACTTCAGAAATATTAGCTTTAAGTGACTTTAAAAGGAATCTTTGAATTTCAATTGAAGGGAAGGAGTATGCATAAAGCTGAAAATCAACCTTAAAAGTCTTTTTAAAAATTACTACGTATTTACATTTATATTTGTGTACTGTGTGCAGAGCTTTCAAATCTAATCCTTGTTATTTGATACTCTTCCACAAGAATCAATGGAAATTTAATTAGAAGCATGTGGCCCGACAAACGACCCATTACAATATCAGATCTGTAACTCACTAATGTCATTAGCAGCATTGTTCTGAATAAATTTTATGTGTGAACAGGGAATGTGTGCTAAGTGAGGTCATCTAGTTAGCTCTGATTGTTGAAATTTAAATTTCACATGCACACAGTGCTGTTAAACAAAGAAATTTTAATTTTTATCTGCTGTCAACCAAAAGTGACCTATTAAATAAAGACATCAGGGTGAGGAATAAAAAAATTCCTTCATCCATAAAATGGTGACCATATCTTCCCTCCACATTTATTAGATATATGGTATTTTCAGGCAGTTGGGTTACAATTAACTGTGAAATGGATACCTTCACTCAATCCTTGAGACTCCTTCATCACTGTATCCCATCCCTGGGTATAAGGAAGAGAAAGCTTCAAACTCAGGGATAAAGAAATGAGATTAGGCACTGTCTGGTAGACAAACCACATCTAACTACAAAGCAGATGTTGGCTATCCTTGTTCACCTCAGAGAGCTTAATTGTTGTGAAAAAAGTTTCTGCTCCTTTTCTGAGAATACACTGTCGTTTTCGTGACCTGTATCTCTAATGTTTTATTTCTCCTTTATGAGGTTGATGTTAATGCTAACTTATTTTTATTAATAACCATAAATGTATTTGTCCATCTAATAATAATACTTACCCTGTTTATGTTTGAAAATCCAAGGGATCTACACTATTCTGCAAGCTTCATGATAAGACTATTTTTCTAACAGTGGTGGATTGAACATTAAGAGTTGATTCCTTAATCTTAGCTTCAGACTAGTTCAGAGAATCCTAATTATATATCTAACAGTTTTTCATTTCACTCAGTAATATAGATATTCCATGTTTACTACTAAAACAAGTAACTTTTAAAAATATCTTTATTTTTATTTGTTTATTTTTATGTGGTGCAGGAATGAACCTAGGGCAACACGTGTGCAAGGCAAGCGCTCTACCACTGAGCTACAACCCCAGCCCTAAAACAACTAACTTATGCTGATGGATTTGGGGGATAGAGTGGATAACCCCTTAGGAGCTAATTCAATCTAACATTTAAAAAAACTTTCATTGTTTCCAATTGCAAAAAAAAGCAATTCACTCTTTAAAAAATTATACAATACATAAATAAAGTGGAAAATAAAACAATTTTAATGATAGGAGTAAAGGGTAGAGTAAGAATCAGGAATGCCTTATGCATAACACTTAATATTAATCCAAGTACATTTTATATTTAAATGTACATATTTATAGGGTTTCATTTTGACTGAGCTATCTTAAAGAGCATCTGAAAAAGTCCTGACTTTACATCCTGAGGAAACTGGAAAAAACAAACTCAATTTGTCCTAAACTTACAACACAGAACACTTCTGTAATCACAGATATGTGGTTTCTCCCACCCACCTAACAATCACTTATTCAGCAGGCATCAGCTGGGAGTCCTCTAATTTAATTCAATTCTGTTCTCTACCTGGAGAACTCATAGACTGGAGGCTCAGTCCCACATGATTGCCCCCACTTCAGATGCCAATCAAAATCCCCAGGTTGGGGTTTTATCTGTGCTTCTCGATGACCAGTTATAAATCAAGTTTCCCTCAACGCCCTCTCCACATTCAATTAATTTGCTAGAGCAGCTCACAGGACTCAGGGAAATACTTACTACATTACTGGTTTATCATAAAGGATACATACAAATACCAGACAGAAGAGATGCACAGGGCCAGGCATGCAGGAAGGAGTGTGGGGCTTCCATCTCCTCTCTCCAAGGGTACTTCCCTCCAGGAGTCTCCATGTGTTCCACTACCCAAAAGCTACTTCAACCTAGTCTTTGGGGAATTTTATTGAAGCTTCATTATGTAGGCATGACTCATTACATCATTGGCTGCTAGTGATAACTTAATTTTTATCTCTTCTCCCCTGCAGTTTGGAGGTGAGGCTGAAATTCCCAACCCCCTAATTATGTTTTGGTCTTTTCAATAACCAACCCCCCATCTTGAAGCTACCTAGGGTCTGCCAGCCATCACTCAACTCATTAGCAGGCAAAAACACAAAACACTTAGGAGTCTGTGTTAGAAAAGGGGAGAAAGAACAAATATATGTTTAAGAGTACTGCACCTACCTCATAAAATTGTTATTAGGATCAAAAGTGAAGAAAATGTCTTGCAAACTGTAACACACTATCCAGGTATAAGATTTTAAAATAAATTATTCACGGATAGTGTTGTGTAACTTTGTGAAATCATAGGCTTTGAAAAGCAAATTCAATATCCCAGGAAGCTATGGATCTGATTTTTTTTGTAAAGCTTAACTACCTGAAGCCATTAAGGTAAAACAGATTAGTAATTAGTTAATCAAAATTGATGTGGAGAACTATCTTAAAATATTAAACAACAAAAATAATTATAAAGTTATCACCAAATACATTTTATTTTCAACTTATTTTTATGTTTATAACTAATCTTTGTGCCCCACCTCTTATTTTATGGGGATAACAATAAAATCTACCTCTAGCTAAGGCTTATAGCTTGGGGCTAATGATAAAATGGCAAAAACAAAATAGAGAATTAAGGTAAAATAACTGAAGTCTTTTTACATCTGCCTTTTCTATGATAAAAAGAATGCTCTATTTGGAAGGGGTCAACAAGTGTTTGTCAGAAGGAGTTGAAGCCCAAGGTAGGTGAGAGGATTGTATGAAATCACCTTTGTCTTATTAAATGAGTCCAACTAATTTGATCTTGTAGAACTCCATTCCATCCTCATGACAGAACTTAATGTTAAGCTTGTTTAACTGCTGTTGAGAAATTTTATACTGGGCAATATTTCAGGATATCAGATATGGAAAAAAATATTTATCTTTATGTGAACAAAAATGAATGGCATAGTTTACAAAATTGGGCAGTTCAGTATGACATCAATTCAAGTCAAAATTCTACATAAAGTTATCAGGTGTCAGAATAGAGATAGGTGACTTCTTAAAAAGACCTTTGATATCATATCACTTTGTTATTGTCTCTGATTCTATGTCCTCAAGAAATTTTTGCCTATGGCATATTTTCACCCACTTATCCCAGTATTCCAAGAAATATACTACATAAAAATCAGACCTGGGTTCTGGGTAGAATAAATAAATCCACAGTACGATTTGTATGCAGCAGAACAGGCACCAAATTTCTGACCATGGAAGAGTGGAAGTTTCTTAGGGATACCTGTCCTCTCCTGTAGAATAGATTACTTCAGATCAGTATTTTTCAAAGTTTGTTCTGAATGACATTAATTCTATAGGGTGCTATGCCTAGAAAGGGTTTGCTCACCAAGTGAGTTTAAGAAATACTTAGTTAAATTTGAAAAGTAGGTTTACTGACATGGTTCTTACAATGTACACAGTGATCTTCTAAATAGATCAACAGTATGTATTATTTTTTGTTTTCTTGTTGATGAAACATATTCTATGAGGATTTTATCTTCA